CCGCTTGATAAAAACACAAAAAAATGATGAAAATAATATAATAATAAATAATAATAATAATAATAATAATATTAATAATTAATTAATTAATAATAATAAATAAAATAATAATAATATAATAATAAATTAAAAAATATAAAAATAATAATAACAACAACAACAAAACAACAATAATTAATAATAAATAATAATATAATAATAACAATAATAATAATAATAACAACAACAAATAATAACAACAATAATACCATCCCGCCCCTCACCCCAATCCCGGGAATAAATCCTGAGAGAAATCCCAAGCCAAGGAGCCCAGAGACGGGTCCTCGAGCGCCAGTCACAACAGAGGGGCGGGACGTCAAGGCGCCTTTGGTAGGATGTCCCTTCGGGGCGTGTGGGAGGGGGGGGGGAGAGGGGAGGGGGGGAGGAGGAGGGGGGAGGAGGAGGAGGGAGGGAGGAAGGAGGAGGAGAGGAGGAGGGAGGGAGGAGGGGGAGGAGGAGGAGGAGGAGGGGAGGGGGAGGAGGGGAGGTGGAGGAGGAGGAGGAGGGAGGGGGGGGGGAGGGGGGGGAGGGGGAGGAGGAGGAAGGAAGAAGAAGAAGAAAAGAAGAAGAAAGAATCATAATAATAATAATAATGAAATAATAATACCAATCCCCGCCCCTCCCACCCCAATCCCCGGGAATAAATCCTGAGAGAAATCCCAAGCCAAGGAGCCCAGAGACGGGTCCTCGAGCGCCAGTCACAAGCGGAGGGCGAGGGACGTCAAGGCGCCTTTGGTAGGATGTCCCTTCGGGCGCTGTGGGGAGGGGGGGGGAGGAGGAGGAGGGGGGAGGGGAGGAGGAGAGGGGGAGGGGGGAGGAGAGGAGGAGGAGGAGGAGGGGAGGAGGAGGAAGGGAGGAGGGGGGAGGAGGAGGAGGAGAGGAGGAGGAGGGGGAGGGGGAGGAGGAGGAGGCAGGAGGAAGGGAGAGAGGGGGAAGGGGAGAAGAGGAGGAGGAGGAGGAAAAGGAAGAAAGAAGAAGAGAGAAGAACATCATAATAATAATAATAATGAAAATAATAATACCAATCCCCGCCCTCCCACCCAATCCCCGGGAATAAATCCTGAGAGAAATCCCAAGCCAAGGGCCCAGAGGACGGGTCCTCGAGCGCCAGTCACAAGCGGAGGGCGGGACGTTCAAGGCGCCCTTTGGTTAGGATTGTCCCTTTCGGCGTGTGGGAGGGGGGGGAGGAGCAGAGGGGGGGAGGAGAGGGGGGGAGAGAGGAGGAGGAGGAGGAGGGGGAGGAGAGAGGAGGGGAAGGAGAGCTAGGAGGAGGAAAAAAAAAGCTAAAGAAGAAGACAGAGAACGACAAATAGAAGAAAGCAAAAGAACCAGACACACCAAAAGCAAAAGCAGCGGGAGGAGGACAGAAGCAAGCAGCATGAGGAGGAGAGGGGAGGAGGAGGAGGGGGGAGGGGGGGAGCAGATTGAAGGATAAGGGGGGAGGGGGGGAGGAGGATGAGCGAGGAGGAGGAGGAGGAGGTGGTGGAGGAGGAGGGGGGTGGGGAGAGAGCAGAGGAAAGGGCGAAAGCGAAGCGACGAAAGCCAGAAAGACATCCGAGCCAGCAGAGAGAGAGAGACGAAGAGAAGGAGGAGGACCGAGCCAGAGGAGGAGGCACATACACAGGAGGAACCGACACAAAGAAGAACGAACCACTAAAGAAGAAGAAAAGACACCAAGGTACGAAACAAAACAGAGAGAAGAAAGAAGAGAAGGAGAGAGGAAGAAAAGAGATACAAGGAAAAAAGAAGACAAGAAAAGAAGGTGAAGAAATGCACGTCTATCTGAGCCAGAGAGAAGGAGAGAGGAGAGACCTGGAAAAAGAGCTAACCAAAAAAAAAACAAACAAAAAAAAAAAAACATGCAGAGGAAAATCGAGGAGGAGGAGCTGAAAACAGCAGACCCGAGAACACGAATGAACACAGATACAAACTCCAAAAAGCAAAGACGACGAAAGAAACGAAGAAGAAGAAGGGGACGGAGGGGAGGGGAGGGGGGAGGGGCGTGTGCCTTCGCCTGCCGCCCACACAAACACAAGCGATTTCACGCGGTAAGTGGCCTGCGAGACCAAATGCGCCCCCGAGTGATCCGGGGCGAGGCTTTTATCGCCGCGCATATGGGCGTGTGTGGGCGGCCGAGTGGGCGGCGTGAGCGTGGCGCTGATAAAAAGACGGGGCTTGAAAAAGGGCGGCGCGCTGCGATAAGGCCCCTTCGATTACAAAGCCTCTCGGGGCTAAAGAAGGCGCCGCCGCCACGGGTCAGCGCGGCCACCGGCCTAGGGGCTCCTGCCTGTTGTTGTGTGATAATTGTTGTTTTGTTGAGGATGTTGTTGAATTGATGTTGTTGAATGTTAGTTGTTGTTTGTTGTTGTTTATTGTTATTGTGCTTGATTATTGTCGTTGTTGTTGCTTGATGTTTGTTGATGTTGTTGTTTAGTTTTGTAGTTGTTGTATTGTATGTTGTTGTTGTTGCTGTTTTTATGTATGTTGTTTAGCTGTTATTGTTGCTGTTATTGTGTTGTTGTATATTGTTATTGTGGATTGTTGATTGTTGCTGTTATTGTGTTTGTTCTTGTGTTGTTTGTTGTTGATGTTGTTGTTCTTTTATAATAATTCGCCATCGTCCCGTGCATCCTCTTTCTCCTTCTGTGCTTATTATTCTAATTCTTACCCTTCTCTTTTCTCTCTCCTCCCTCTCTCTTCTCCCTCCCTCCTCTCCCTCTATCTCTCTCTCTTCTCTTTCTCTCTCTCTTCTTCCCCTCTCAGCCTCTCTCTCTCATTCGTCTCTCCTCTCCTCTCTTATTCTTTTCTCCCTCTCCCTCTCCCCTCTCATTCTTTTACCATTAAGGGCTTTACTTTTTTTTTGACCTGTTGTGCGGTAGGTCGAGGGGATTTAGATTCTTTTATCTTTTTTTTTTTTTTCATTCCAC